GGAGTTCTCTGTGTAATACCACACAGCAGCCCTAAGATTCCACACTGACTGACATGGGCTGATTGAAACTAATTCCAAGAGGTTGTATATCAGACACGCAGAGATCCTGGAAAAAAGGGGTCTGGCCTAAGGCTCAGGGAGACCTGCAGAATCTAGTAAAGGACTCCAGTGTCCCCGCCTGCCCCTTCCACCTCCCATGTTCCATGGCTACCTATTAGCCACCTGGGCAGCTTAGTAAAGGACAGACAGACCCAGAGGTTATCTGCTCTTCAGCCCAGCCAACTTCCAGGCTCACAGCTGCCCCCCAAAACTATTCTCTCATGCCCTCTGGATGGCACAGCTCTTACCAGGACCAAAAGATATCCCACCAGGAACACCCTCCTTAGACCCAGATGACCTGGGGTAGTCAGGGACAGAGCTCCAGGCAGGGAACCCACACACCCAGTCCTACCCCCACTGCTCTGTGACCTTGGCCTGATCATTTCACCTTTCTGGCTTTGGTTTCCCTGTGACTCAATCCCTCTCTACTGCCCTGCCCTCCCACCCTCCCACCTTCCACACTAGCCAAATTGTTTCATAAAAAAAGAACTCAGGGTTCTTTGAGCTCTTTGGAGAGAGACCACATAAATGCAGGGCATTATTAGCATCATTACTATTAAATATTAATAATGACATTAGCATTGTCTATTATAAGTCTGAAAAAGGAGCTCCAAGAGCCCTGGGTTCATATGGCAAAGAGAATAATTAGGCCCCTCTGGGGCACAGACCCCTCTGGACCCTCACATGAAATTAGGAAGGCAAATGCAGACAGGGCATTGAGATCTTCCTTCCAGTACCCCCGCTAGGTCAACGTGGCTCCTCCAGGCAGTACACAAATCAGGCTCTTCCCAGGCCCCACGTCTTGGCTCCTGCCACACCACATGCCCCCATGCCAGAAACGCATTCTCTACCTCCTCTGTCCATCCAGGCTCAATTCAAGGTGCACCCACCCACCCACCCCCACTGAAACCTTCACCCACATCCTACCTCCCTCTCTCCCCATCCTCTGAATGGTTACTATAGCTAGTCTCCTTCATTCAGTCACCCAGTCAACGGTATTTATTGAGTCTCCACTATGCACCAGGCACTGTGTTAAGCAGGAGGGTGGGGGACTAGGAGAATATGGACTGATGAGATAATCCCTACCTTCTAGACTGCATAGCTGAGGGAATGACCATCAGTATTTGATATGGCACCTGGCAATTCAAAGTGCTTTGAAAAACTGTTATGTTTAATTCACCTATCTTCACTATCACACTAAATAGGAGTAGGAATATTCCCATTTTAATGAAGAAATGAATTCTCAGGGCAATTAAGTGTCATTCTGTTACCTGCCCAGTGTCATCCAGGTAGGAGTGACAGAGCTGAGACAGAGTCCAGTTCTCTTGACTACAAATCCACAGCCACCCCAACCACTTGCAGCCCTTCCTGCTCTGCCTCATACCCTTGTTTTACAGATCGGGGAGGCTAAATCCCAAAAGGGAAATGCTGACATTTATCGAGCACCTGCTGTGCTAGATACTTCACGTGTAATTCAAGGCTCACGTAAACTCAGTGAGGTAAGTGTTTTAATCCCCTTATTCCAGGTGAAGAGGTATGTGGCTCACCCATGGCCTCATAGCTCCTCAGTAACAGGGCTGGGTGTCAAATGGGTCTGTCTGCAGAGATTTGCCTCATGGTCATATCAGTCTTCCCCAGAGCTGTGCATGGATAGTCCTGTTGCCACTATCACACTACTTCCAAAAAGCTCACTGGCACTTTGAAGATCGCATCCCCTGGCTATTGGATCCCTACATTCCAGGCAGAGGAGCTGCTCCGTAAATACGTGGCCTCCTGGGAAAAGGGTCTTTCTGGAAGCAGAGGCAAAGATGATGGTGGCTGGTGAGGCCAGGAAAGGAGAGGTGAGGCGGGGAACTGGTAGGAAAGAGACAGCAAAGCTGCAGCATCCTGGGGCCGTGGCTGGGTCTCATCTCCTCCCCACTTGTCCCCAGGGACGGGGCCTGGCGGTCCCTTCTTGATGGGCTGGTGACCCACTGGACTCCATTGCTATCCATCTTGTGCAGCTACAGCAGGAAGAAGCAGATGGTCTAGGCAGGGTCGGGTGGCTCTCAAAATGCCTTCTGACCCCTACCCACTAGCACCAAGGGAGCACCACATGTTTGCAGACAAATTTATAAGCCACTTGATTAGCCATCTGATTATCTTCAGCTGGCCCTTTCTTGCCCTGTTTGAAAGTCTGTGGGGACTCAACTTTGAAATATGGGGCCCCAGCTCTGGACAACATGGAGCCACATCGATCAGCCACAGAAAGGAGAGGTGGCCCTTATAGTTGACTGCACTAAAGATTCTGGACTCTGGCTGTCACCAAAGAAGGGGAAACTGTTCTGTGCCCTATTTTGCCCACCCCAAAATAACAGGCAATAGATATCTGAGTCCGCAGCACAGTAGGTTAAGCCGGGATGCTGGAGGCGGACCACAGGCCTCATTCTGTCGTCTAGGCTGGAGTGCTATGGCACAATCACAGCTCACTGCAGGCTCAGGTGGTCTTCCCACCTCAGCCTCCCAGGTAGCTGGGACTACAGGTCACACCGGCTAATTGTGTGTGTGTGTGTGTGTGTGCGTGTGTGTGCGTGTGTGTGCGTGTGTGTGTGTGTGTGTGTGTGTAGAGACGGGGTTCTGCCATGTTGCCCAGGCTTCCATTTGTTTACTGTTTCCTTTGAGCGAGTTCCTTGCTCTTACTGAGCAGCAACTGAAAAATGAGGATGATAACATGGACCTCTTGGGCAAGTAATTCAGGTAAAGCACTTAGCACAGCTCCTGTCATACGGGAGGCATTCAAAACAGATATTATTTCTGTTATTATCAAACTAATGGGCCCCACAAACAAAACTCAGCCTGCACCCCCAAAATGCCCACCCCACTATCTCCTCGGGAACAGGAGCATTTCGGAGACTGGCAGTGTAGATCCCTAATCCTCCCAAACTCATTCATACCAGACTTAGCCGAGAGCTTCAGACAAGTGAGAAGATGAGACTTTGGGAACAGTCTCCCCATCCAAGTCTAGGCTTGGCAAATGCTCTTGTTTTCACTTATCGTGTCTGCCAGAGTCCACATGGAGCATGCTGGTTACACTGAGATCTGGGAGTCTTTGGGACCCAAGTCACCTGTGCTGATGACCCTCCCCACGGGCCCAGCTCCCACCACAGGGCAGCAGCTCTCCTAAAATCGAGTCACAAAGACAGACATCTCCATCTAAAACAATCCTTGTAAGCATCTCCAGACCGTTGGCTCCTGGGCCAGCCAATTTCCTGGCCCGTCAGCCCCCTGCAGCAGACATAGCATCCTTTTCTTGGCAGGGACCTGTTTCTGCCATTTTCTGCTTGGAGGTCTGCTCTCTTTGGAGCCCAGACTGACTTGAGTGGTGTCAAAGGTTCATCTCAGGAGCTCAGAGGCAAGGTGCCAGCCCTCAGACATACAGACAGACAGACAGACAAGGACAAGGGCAAGAAGGGAGGGATATCCTAACAAGGGGATGATGTATCCCTCTGCATAGCAGCATTCAAAGTTATCTAAGAAACATCATTAGCAAAATCAAAGTCCTCCCCATCAGGAACAAAGAAGACTGTCTCCCAAGTTAGGCAAGCCCTTTGGAGGGGTGCAGAAGGAAGGGAGAGGAGCGCATGTGGGACCTGGGCAGGCATTCCAGCCTTGGAGGCTGAACAGCAGAACCTCCCCAACTTTTTCACCTTTTCCAGACCCTCTCATTCTGGCCCAGGTCCCCAGGACCTTATCCACTCAGGAAGACACAGAGCCATGATCCACATTTGACAGGTATAGCCATTTAAAACTGGGAGGCTGGCCTGGCCCCGCCAGCTGCTGCAGCATCTGGACTGCTCACCGGTCTTGCCTGTGCAAGCTGGACAGCAGGCAGATCAGAGGGGGGTGAGACAAGAGTGACAGCCTGACAGGGCCGACTGGTGCTGCAGATGGCTGGTCCCTCTGCCTCCGGGCCACAGCCTTCCTGGGCACTCCCCCGTGTGACAGGAGCAGGGCAGGAGAACTGCATCGCTGACCGGGATGAGCACTTAGAATTTCAGAGCTGGCAGGACTGTATCCATTTTTAATCCCTTCGGGTACCAGTGAGGCTCAGAGAGGGCAGGGCACCCAGCCAAATACACATAGCCAGTCAGTACAGAGCCCAGAGTACCCCTCAGACACCCAGACCCCTAATCCAGGGAGCTTTTCATGACACCACACTGCTGGTTGCTTCAAAAAGGGATTGGATCCAAACATACAGAAGTGCAAAAGTGTCCAGGATCAGTTATACAGTCAAAAGTGTTTCGCACGTCCTACTGTTTTGGGTAATCCTATTTGCATGAAATAACCCTAATAACCCACGCAATTGTATACGTGAAAATAGTAAACCTGGGGCATGTACTTAAATGTATTAAGAGTAGTGGTTGAGGGACTTTCACTATGTGTTTTTAAATGTCTTCTCCTATTTGGATATTTTGACAAAAAGCTCCAGCTACTTTTGAACAAGGGAAACAGTAAAGAGGAACAGGGGGTGGGCGGGCAGCAGAGACAGCCCCTCCCTCCCACTTGCCCCACACAGCAAGCTGAGATTTCTGATTTGGGTCTCTTCCTCGAATAGGGGATTTGTGGGGAAACAGGGAGTTTGGGCTCCATGGGTCTCCAGGGTTTGAGGAGTCACAGCCACTTTCTTTTCCCCGCCTCACCCCGCCCCTCACCTGCCCCTTAAGCCCTGGGCATGGGGATGAGAAGTGGGGCTGGGCGAGGCCGGGAGGGCAGGCGGGCCAGACAGCACCCCGCGGCCTGTCCTGAGCCGCCCATGCATTATGGAAGACGCGCGCTGGGCTCGCTCCCTGGTCCTTAAATGACAGCAAATGAGGTAAAGCCAGGAGGGTGGGGACGGAAGGGGGGTGGGAGGGGGGCAGAAGGAAGCCATCTCCAGGGCCCCCGAGCGTTGGCTGAGGACCGGAGCCAGCCAGTGAGCGGAGCCTGGGAGAGGGAGGAGCACATCTTGATGCAGAGATGCTGCAGTGGCTCCGGGCGCGCTCACACACACGCGCCCTCACCCGCCACCGCCGCCACGGCCGCCGCACCCGGACAGCGAGCGGCTGAGGCCGGCAGGGCCCAGAGCAGGGCGGCCCAGGGGCTGGCGGCCCCACCGGCCCCGGCTCACCGACTCGGGCAGCGTCCACCTGCTCCAGCCAACACCCTTCTCTCGCCCAGGTAGGTGCTAACCGCTTTTGTCTCCTCCAGCCCATAACAGCGCGCCGCGCCGGAGCTCCCGGCTCAGTTCCTGTAAATATACCCCTTGTAACTTGGGAGGGGGCAGGGACGGGAACATCGGGCGGCTGGGGCTATTCTGACTTCTCCCCTCAGCCGCAGGGTGGCTGCTGGGGTTCCCCTCCGCCCTGTCTACGTGGGCGGCATCCCGCATGGCTCTCTCAGGCCAAGCCTGGCCAAAAAGCAGGACCCCAGGAGTGTGTCCAGGAATTCGAGTTGACCAGCGGGCAGGGGCAGCTGCCTGTGGAGAGGGCAGTTTCTCCTGGGCCAGCCCCGGGCTCCTGGTCCAGGACAGGAACAGTCCACACGGCCAGGCCCTGGGCCCTGGCCTGCCCCAGAATCCCTGCATAGAATTGAGCCGGAGTCCCCAGATTTGAGGTCAGCCAGGGTCTACCTCTGCGGAGTGACCTCTTTGCAAAGTCTTGCTTCAGTTGGACGGAGGAGGCGGCTGTGGGAAAGGGAGGGGAGCGCAGAACACAAGTTTGGGCAAAGGCCTGTCCAGGAACTAGGACGCAGGGAGGAGAGTCCCGAGGCCAGTCACATCCCAAAGGCGGAGAGGCTGGGGCCACCGGCTGAAATTCCTTTTCTTCCCTTCCCCCTCCCACCCGTAGCTTCTCCTTAGATCCCTCCCCTCCATCCTCACTAGTGGGAAGGAAGGCTTTGCACAAAGTTTGGCTTTTCAGTAAGGAAAGGGGCTGGGGTCAGAGTGGTATGAGAGGGGGAGGGCCAGAGCTGGGGAGTTCTGGAGAGAAGGCAGTCCTTCTGCCCAGCCCCATGGGGCTTACATAATGGGCTAAAGGTGGGGACAGCCCCAGCCAGTGAGTGTCCAGAGCTGAATCCTGTCACCTTCTCCAAGAGGGGCTCTCAGGTCTGGGAAGCAGCAGGGCGTGGAGGAGGCAGTGCCTGTGGAAGGAGAGAGTCCTCGGCTACTCGGGAACCCTTTAGCCCCAGACCCCTGGGGCTAAGCCTGTGTCCTGGGGTGGGGGTTGGGGGATGCAGTGAGACCAGGAGGAGTGGGTTGTGCATGCCATGGCCCAGCCCTGGAGAAAGGTGGGTTTCAGCATCTTTTCCTTCCGCTCAGAAGAAGGTGGGAGGAGGAACAGCCCGAGTAACCCAGTGCACAGCTGATGTTCTGGGCTCATCTGGGCAACAGTTTCGGCCACCTCTCCCAGCCTTCTGGCTCACTTAGCCTCCGAGTCACTCTGCCTCCTGGTCCCACTCAGAGGGGCCGGATGAGCCACTGGAGAGTGAGTGCAGCAAAAGGTGGGCCACCTGTGGGAGAGGCTGCTATGACCACACCTCCCGGGGGTGGAGCAGAGAGACAGCCTGGAGGTCACAACAGGCTGTCTCTCACTCCTGGCCTTGGAATAAGGGAGCTCTCCCCTTAAAGACAGCAGCAACCAAGCCCCTCCCCAGGGTGCCCACCAGTTAACCCCTTCCTAGCCAAGCTGCAGAACCACTTACAGGGCTTTTGCCACAAGGTCAAAGTCCTTCCTAATATCCCATGGGAGTCCGTAGCCAGTAAGAGGGAGGCAGGAGGTGAGACAGACGGGAGGAGTCCCCAAGCCGATGTCAAAGTCACCCAAAGTCCACCTGCCTCACAGGCGCAGAGACCACTGCTCACACCATGAGTGGTGAGGGAAGCAGAGGCACAGTGCTCGTGGAGATGAATGCCCCAGACTCCAGGTGCCTGCTCTTGCTCCCGGCTCTCTCTCTCTCTCTCTCATTCTCCTCCCTTCCTCTCCTCCCTTGTTCCTCGCACTCCTTTCTCTGTTCGCGTGTATTCCACCGGCTTCAGCCCTCAGCCTTCCCCCACACCATTTCCCCTGCCAGATTTCACTCCTTATGCAACTCCATTCCAGCACCTTCTCTACCAGCAGTTGTTCAAATAGAGATGCATGTGGGATGGGCCTCCGAGGAGTGGTGCTCAGCGGGTGGTTGTGCATCCCCTCTCTGGCTGACCACACTTACTCCTTGGGAGCACGTACATACACAGGTGCACCCTAAGGCATCCTTTCTGCCTCTGAAGCCACCAGGGAAGCAATGCGTTTGGGGTGGTTTGGAGAATACATGGTCCCCTCTTCAGAAACCTCCTCAAGCCAAACGTTGGTGAGAAAGCGTATTTCAAAGACAATCTCTAAGCCTGAGTGTGGGTGGTATTTGTATTTTTGGAGGGATTCCTAGGGCAGAGCCAGGGGATTGGAGAAGAGGTGGTTGATACTCAGGGGAGGAAGAACCAGAGCAAAGAATATGCCAAGAAGCCAGGGGGACTAAAGTCAGACTGCAGGAGATACTTCCTGGTAGAAGGATGAGCCATAGGGAGATGGGACAATCTCCTTTCAGATGACTCTAAGGATGCTGTGGAGAACTGGGGTCTAGTCCAAGGTTAGAGAGTCCTGCCTAGAGGCAAAGGTTGGGCTGGTTGACTCTGGAAATTTCTTCCAACTTCTAGTAATCCTCTTTCAAATGTAGAATGTGGATGTGACTCAGGAATCCATAAGAAGACAGACATCCTTTTCATTCCCACATGCATGCTAGCCACCCCCTCATCCTTCAGGACTACAATCCCTAATCTAGACCAATCCCAGGAGCTGCTGATAACCTGGAACAGATGGGAGTTTCTGTGGGCTCTGTGTCCTGATGGTAACCATCCTGGAGTAAAGAAGTCCTTTCTTCAGTTCGATGATTCCTTGCTAGAATATTAGCCCATCTTTCTTTGTTCACCAAAGAGGATGCAAATGAAAGCAAGTTGTGTGGTGTCTCGTGCAAAACCTGAACACCTTCTATCCCAGGACACACTCAGGCCCAAACGCATCTCAGCGTCCTTCTTACCTAATGAGCCATTCGGTTCCCTACTTAGATGGGGAAGTCAACCCCAGCTCCTCACACACCCCCATCTGGTCAAACCTGCTGGGCTGCCTCCAGCCCAAGCTGGAGTGCCTGCCACCTCAAGGGCCCAAAGGGTTCTCCCACCCCGCGCCTGGTTGGACGGCAGCCTTCCCGCAGTGCTGCCCAATAGGTAAAGTTGATCTGGACCCCAAATCCAAATGAAACTAGCTTGAGAGGAGGAGCAGGTTGGACCCCACCCCCACCAGGCTTAAGCTGTGAACCACCCTGGAGGAAGCTGTCTAAGAACTGGGGGAGCCTCCTCTCACCAGAGTTTGGAGGACATGCAGAAATTGCTCTGCTAATTCGTGAGGAAATTTTTCCTGATTTGCTTCTTCAGAAACAAGTTGAAACCATTGTTTTTATGCCTGGCATCTCAACAAGGGATCCTTCTTCCAAAGCCCTCACTCACTGCCCCACACCCCATGCACAGCAGGGCAGGCAAATAGGAAAACCTAAGGTCTAGGGGTGGCTGGCTCCTGATCCTGAGCTTCCCAGGAGGTTGGAAGCCTCTCCCCTTCTGTCCACTCCTTTCTTTAAAGGGCCTCTCTGTTGGAGTGAGTTTCTCCTGCAGGGGCAGAGACTCTAGGATCAGATCAAGGGCCAGATCCCCCCCTGCCCAATGCTGGAAGCTCAGACAAACCCATGAGCCTGGGAGCCACAGCTCTCCCCAGAGGGCACATCAGCACCAGGGCTGGGCCTTGGGGAAGCAGCTGCAATCACAAAGAGCCTGCAGAGAGAGCTGAGCAGCACACAGAGAGGGCTAAGGAGGGACCAGGCTGCATAGCTCCCCTGGTCCCCACTGCAGCTGAGGAGGTCCTTATGTTCCCATATCTGCCCTAAGGATATCTCTAGCTCAGGGTACCACAGAGACCCCCCCAGTCACAATCCTTCACCCCACCCCTGCCAGCTGCTGCCTGGCCTGGCATGCTGAGATCCTAGCAGCCCCCACTCATGCCACCACAGAGCCCTGTCCTGACCAAAGAGGCATGGGGATGGTCCAGACCTTCCTAAAGGACGATGGTGCTGTCCCAGGGGGCAATTCCTGTCCTAGGCAAAGGAAAGGGTGCTGATCTTAGATCCTGCCAGGCAGGAGGTGAGGGTGGTTGAGAAGGAGTACCTGCTTGGGAGTGTCCGTCCTGGCCACGTGCGCCCCTGAGCACATGTACCAGGTATAACTCTGTCTTGGGGCTGTGTCCTTGTGCCCTAGTCTGGGGTGGTGTGCTAGTGCTTACCTACGACCATTGCACCTGTGGGGTTTAAGAGGAGGGAGGCATCTGCCCAGGAGATTGTGGGTCTGTCAGTCTCTTAAATATGTGAGTGCAGGACATTGTGACTATAGAAGTAAGCCAGATGGGCACAGTGGCTGCGGACATAGGAGGGCTGTGAGAGTTCTCAGTTCTAAGATCTGATGTCTCCTGAGCACTCACTGTGGGCCTGTGATGGTGCTGACCTACAGCAGTCCGGTCAGGCGGGTCCTACCCTTCTCATCCCCATCTTGCAGATGGGAGAGTGAGGCTCAGAGAGGTTAAGTAATGACTGTGATAACCAGGGTTATACTAGTTAGTTTTATTAGGGTCATATTAGCTAGACAGCACAAGGCAGGCTGACCCAGTAGTCTGCCCTGATAACCGGTGTGCTGTGCTGTAGGATAGAGGCCAAGCGGGGACCTGTGGGGCTCCTTGAGTACTTTGTAGGCTAATAATAAACCACTTCGTCTCTGCCCACAGCTGGGCTCCGAACGCCCCTTTACTGCCACCATCCATCGGCAGTTGCCAAATCTCTCATTGCTCTCCAATTGCCATTACTGGGGAGAAGGGGAGAGAGATTCAGGGCCAGGAGCTGGCCATCCCAATCGGTAGCACTCTGGGATGGCGGTATACCTTTCATTTTCTGACTAGCTCTGTGCAGGGGCTTTATCCCAGAACACCCTGCCATGTGCCGGAGCCCCACTCACAGCCTGCTGTCCCCCAGCTGTTCCCCCTGGTCCTTTGTTTCCTGGGCCGCGACAATTCAGCCAGCTCCCCTGGTGCCCCTGAACCCCCAGTGGTCCATTTCCCCATGTGCTGGTGCCTCGCAGGACCAGCTCCTGCTGGTGACAGCCTGTGCTTGCCTGTGCCAGCCTGTCCCTGCACCCCTGCACCAGGGCAGCTGGCCTGGGCAAGGCTTGGCTGGCTCAGGGCTCGCAGGGCCTGGCATAGCTCCACTCCAGCCTTGCTCCTGACAAAAAGGCCTCCTCCATCCTCGGCATTCTAGAGCACATAATAGGGCAGACGGTATGGGGAGGTGACTGATCGGTGAACTCACGAGCACATCTTAGGCTGCACCGTGTTGGTCAGGGAGCTCCGTAGCGGCAGTCACTTTATTACACACATAGTCAATAAATACCGTGATAGAAGCGAATGTGGGCAGGACTGGACGCCAGCGGCCTCACGTCCAGGGAGGCAAGGAGCTCCAACATTTAGCCCAGACTCTGAAAGAGAGAGAATTTTTTCAACCAAGGCTGTGGCACACAATGGAGCTTAATATACATCTGATGATGCTGATGGGTCTCCGGTGCTCCCCGAGGGCAACCCCATGCGCTCCTGGATCCCGGCCCCTCCCCCACAATCTCCTCAAAGGCTGTGCATCTAGATCCCTGGAGGGTACCCAGGGTCCTTGGGCTGGATTATTTGTGATTGCCCATGGTAATTACTTATGGTAATAGAGACAACAGACAATTCTGACCACTGGAGGAGGGGAAGGATCTAAAATGCAGACATCCTGGTGGGTTTCGGGGAAACAAGGCAAGGGGCTGTGTCCTCACACCCAACACACACATACACACACACACACAGAGAGAGACACACACACACAGAGACACACACACAGAGAGACCGGACATCTTCATACACACACACATAGACACATGCATACATGCAGACACAAAGATCAGATCACACATATACACAGGGACATATAGACATGACAGACACATCCACTCACACTGGGACACAGACATGCACACACACACACCCTGCTCTCACCAGCACTGCTGTGGGAGCTGGGGACTCCAGGTAGGAATCTGCCCAGAGGCTATCCGGGAGTCTCCAGCCCCTGGTCGTCTGTCTCTGCCTTGCTCTGGCACATTCAGTACAAGTGCCTGGAGCCCAGGCTCCTCCCCTGGCCGGCACCCTGCTGCCCCCAGTGAGCTCCCAGGACTGGCAGGCCGGCAAAGAGCAGGAAGCAAACAATGATTGAGCACCTTCTCCATGCCAGGCACCAGGACGCAGCACACCAGTGCCAGCGGGGTGATTTTTCAACTTTTTGGAGCCATGGAGCCCTTTGTTTAAAGGGAACTTCATAGTAAAGTCTAGTAGTTAAGCAGATACAAGTGGAGCTGCTCTGGCTGGAGTGGGGAAGGAGCCTGAAGCCCCATCCTCTCTCCCTAGCCTCCCACGGTGGCCCTGAGACAGGTCCAAAATTCCCCAAGGCTTCACAGCAGTTTGAAAACCACTGTAGGGCACTCCAGCACCTCACGGAACCCTCCAAAGAACTCTGTAAAGTGCATGTTAAAGCTCCACTTTGCAGATGGGAAACTGAGGCTTCACAAGGGGCATTAACTTGTCCAAGCTCACAAAGCTGTTTAGAGATGAAGTCAGTATTACCATCCCCTGTTCATCAGATTCCAAACCCTGGAAGGTCCCAGCACCTCTCTATTCTGAGGATAACTCCCTGCATTTGTCTGTGATCTCCCCTGACCAGATACCCTGATACCCTAGAGCTCTGAGTGTGTGTGTGTGTGTGTGTGTGAGAGAGTCTGTGTGTGAGTGTGAGCGTGTGTATGTGTATCTGCATGTGTGTATGTAAGCGTGTGTATGTGTGAGTGTGAGTGTGTATGAGTGTATGTGTGAGTGTATGTGAGAGTGTGTGTATACGTGTGTGTGAGACTGTGTGTGTGTGTGTGTGTGTGTGTGAGAGAGAGAGAGAGAGAGAGAGAGAGAGAGAGTCTGGCCTTAAGGTTGCCCCCAGGAAGCACTGAACACTGGTCAGCCCTATCAGTTATGTATAGACTGTCCCTGACTTATAGGGACTAGACTTACAATTTTTCAAATTCACGGTGGGGCAAAAGCAATACACATCCAATGGAAACCATACTTTGAGTATCCAACAACTAATTTGTTTTGCACTTTCAGTACAGTTTTTTAATACATTACATGAGATACTCAACACTTTATTATCAAATAGGCTTTGGATTTGGTGACTTTGCCCAACTTCAGGTGAATGTAAGTGTTCTGAGTACTTTTTTTTTTGAGACAGAGATTCGTGCTTGTCACCCAGGTGCAGTGCAATGGCGAGATATTGGTTCACTACAGCTTCTGCCTCCCGGGATCAAGCAATTCTCATGCCTCAGCCTCCTGAGTAGCTGGGATTATAGGTACCCACCACCACACCCAGCTAATTTTTGTATTCTTACTAGATATGGGGTTTCACCATGTTTGCCAGGCTGGACTAGAACTCCTGGCCTTGGGTAAAATGATTGCCTCGGCCTCCCAAAGTGCTGGGATTACAGGCATGAGCCACGGCGCCTGGACTTCTGAGTACATTGAAGGTGGACTTGGCTAAGCTATAGTGTTCAGTAGATCAGGTGTATTAAATGCATTTTTGACTTACAATATTTTCGACTTTCGGTGGTTTTATCGGGATGTAAGCCCGTCGTAAGTCAAGGAGCATCTGTATGAGCCCCATCACGTGCACCCGCGCATGTGCCCACTGGCTCCTGGAGGCATGTAATCACAGTTGTTCTCGACCAGTTACATGCAACATACAAGTAACAACTATGACGTGCCAGGTACTTTGCTAGGCACAGGAAATATCAAGATGAATGCAACACGATCACTCCCCTGGGCAGCTCAGAACCTTCTAATGGAGACAGACACAGTTCTATAGGAAGCATATCAAACGTGAATTCATATCAAGAACAGAGTGAATTCTCTGCGCAGACAGGGCATCTTAGGCACTTACCGGCAGGGGTGAGACATGGACAGCCTTGCAGGAGAGGCTGCCTTGCCTGGGAAAAGCATTACAGGAGAATGGAGACGGATGTGCTGGTGGAATGTCGGAGGAGCTGCAAGTGCAGATTGTCTTGAGTTCAAGTCTAGAATTGAGAGTGGCAAGGACAGGGAGGGGCAGGTAGTTGGGGAGAAGTGGCACCTGGGCACTCTGCCTGTTAATGGAAAGTGGATATGAGGCTGCAGTCAGGGTGAAGGGGGTGCCATGGGCTCCCCCCACTGCCTGCAAAACACCCAGCTTCCTTTCCCATATCCTTCCTGACGGCCCCTGGGGCCACCTCTCCCTTCTTTCCCCCCAGCTCCTTTGGGTGCCAGCTGTGGTTGTGAAAGAGGCAGGAAAAGGTTGTAGGGTGATCAGATGTGGAAGGTGAAAAGGGTTTGGGAGCGCTCTTCCTGAGGGAATAGTGTAATGTGAGACAGGGCAGATCCTGAGCTGGCTCTGGCCTTCAGCCCCTGCACAGGCTGGAGCAGCAATCTTAGGTCCCCTGTTCCCATTCAGGGGACAGCATTCCCAGGCCCTTGGCCACTCTGCATTCTGGTAGCATCACCAGAGCCAGAACACTGAGATCCAGAGATGGGACAGGTCTTGCAGGCAGGTGGTGAAAGGGCCCCCAGCCAGGCTTTCTCCCCGAGCCCTGACTCCCACCCCCTGCGCTTAGGTTTCTGCAAAGCGGGCAGGCAGAGCAGAGCAGCAGAATCTGCTGCCGAGCTAGCTGGTGGCCCTGAGCCCAGTGACCCAGGTTCACTCTGATAACTGATAACTGGAAAGCCAGGCTCCTGACATTCTGAACTAAGAAAGTCCTCCCAGGGACTGGGAATGAAGAGGGAGGCTGGCTCTGCCCTGCCCTTGCCTCCCAAGCAGAGGCCCCATCTCTCAGACTGAAACAGGCCTTCTGACTCAAGGACTGAACCAAGTCTCAGCTCATCACTGTGCAAGTGGGAGGCTCCTCTGGGAGGTGCATTAACTCTTTTGGCCCCAAAGGCCTGCTGGGCCCCTTCACCCATCTGGTTGGGGGCATTGCTAATGGAGCCAAGGTCATGATTCCACTGGTAAGAGGGTGTGGACAAATCAGTGAGACCCCCTCCTTCATGCTAGGAAAACAAGGCTGGGAGACTTAAGGCAGCTCCCAGAGGGGCTTATTAGCTCCCACCCAGACAGCTGAGGGGAAGGGGCAGGGGGAATGTCGGCCCCTAGCCCAACTGCCAGAGGAAGACGTTACTGACTTCCTACCCAGGAACGGGTCCTGTTCTCTTTTGGACCCCGCCTCAAGAGCTGACTGGCGGGCGGGCGGGCAGGCGGGAGGGCAGGTGCGTTCTTGCCTCCCAATTAATCACTGCTTTCACTTCCTGAGCGGCACCCCGCTGGCTGGAATGGGGGCGGTGAGGGGACAGGGCTGAGCCAGACTCCCAGGGGACCAGTAGGAGGCACTCAGCCCCAGGAAGAGCTTCTTGGTAATAGCCAAGCCCCTTCCTCTGGGGCCCTGAGGAGGATTAGTGCCTGGGTAATTCCGGCAGCTCCCCAGGCCGAGGTAAAAGCATTGCGAACCCAGATGTGCTTGGAGCTGGGAGGGGTGCTCCTTGGCTCAGAGCCCTCCTCTGCTGCCTCCCCAGGTCCTTTTCAGCCTCCAGCTGGGCTGTCCCCAAGCTGAGCTGAGGCTCTTCTCCTCCGATTCCCACCTCCGCCCGGACACCCGCCATGGGGACAGCCGCCAAGAGGAAGCCACACCTGCTGCTGGTAGCCGCTGCGGCCCTTGTCTCCTCTTCAGGTAAGAGGACTCACCTGGGCTTTGCAGCCCAGCAGGCATGATTACAGCGTGATATCCTTGCTATGACTGGGTGATGATTACAGAAATCATTGGCTCTGCATTGTGGGAGGAACTAGATTTCTGAGGCATTTCCTTGCTAAAATTTCCCATGTGTAGATCTTACCTTCCCTCTGAATTTAGGAGGAGAGGGAATGTCTTTGCCGTATTATAGATGAAGGAAGAATAACCCAGAGAGGGTAAGTGGCTTGCCCTGGGTCACACAGCAAGATGATGGCATGCCAGAACTCCACAGTATCACCCAGAGTTGTAGCCCCAAAGGCTGCACTGTCCTATACAGAAGGTCATAGCCACATGGGACTACTACAACTCAGATTCAATTCCATTTTAAAAATAATTTCCGGCCAGCGCAGTGGCTTGTGCCTGTAAATCACAGCACTTTGGGAGGCCAAGGCGGGCAGATCACCTGAGGTCGGGAGTTTGAGACCAGGCTGACCAACATGGAGAAATCCTGTCTCTACTAAAAATACAAAATCGGCTGAGTGTGATGGTGCACACCTGTTGTCCTAGCTACTTGGGAAGCTGAGGCAGGAGAATCGCTTGAACCTAGGAGGCAGAGACTATGGTGAGCCAAGATCATGCCATTGCACTCTGGCCTGGGCAACAAGAGTGAAACTCTGTCTGAAAATAAATAAATAAATAAAATAAAAAATAAAAATAATTACCTCAAGTGTGGGACGAAATGTGCACTAGCCACATTTCAAATGTTCAATAGCCATATTGGCTAGCGCAGAGCAGAGAACATTTCCATCATTGCACTCTCCCGTGTGTAAGCACACACGGGAAGGCACATGTGTGGGTGGGTGTGTACATAGCTGAGGAGGCAAGTGTGGGGTGTGAAGGTGTGTGTATGGATGTGGATGGCAGAGAGGCTAGAGGTATGAGTGAAGTGTCTGCACAGGGGTGCTGCTACACTGGGATGTAGTCCCCTGACATGAGCAGACAGTGGTCAATCCCACAAAACCCTGTAAGTGTTTCTTAAGGCAACCCTGCATCCCAGCAAACGGACCGAGTATAGACCAGGATGTGGGAAAAGATGTGGCAGAGAAGGGAACCCAGGTTCTCCTCCGGCAGGGAGGGTCCAGCTTGGAGAAGAGGCAGGGGGAGGCTGGCAGAAGGGGAGAGGGTAAGGGGGGCAGGCAGAGAGGCGCAGGCCAGCTGGACTCTGGAGAGCATGGCAGGCCAGAGGGCTGGGCAGCTGACCTGTCCTAGGGCAAAAAGGAGGTCCCCAGCCGCCTCCTGCTCTAAGGAGTGTGCTGGACACACTGCTTGGCCTCTGCCCTGACCATCAGCTCAGATCAGTAGATGCTTCTTTTCTCCTTAAACATCTCTGTGGGGCTATCCATGGTCCTTCTGGAGTTCTAAGCACCTCAGGCTCCACCTCCCCCACCCAATACCCCCTGCAAGGCTACAGCTGGTGCATTTCAGGTCCTTTGTCTCATGAGGGAAGGACTCCACTGGCATACTTTCTGATGTTCTTATTGTGTCCTAACTGCTTCCCAATTCTGCAGCTCAGTCAGTGAGGCTGCTGGGAAACAGGGCTCACTCAGAGTAGCAGGGGGGTCCCCAGGCCTCACTACCTGTCACAGGGTCCACCAGACTGGGAAGAGCTGCTGGGGTGGGGTGCCTCAACTGCACAGAGTGGAGACACCCACCCCAGAAGGAGCAGAGAGGAGGCACCTGGGCTCCTAGCATCCCCTCCCTCAGGAACACCTCCGTGCTGGATCCACACCATCTGAAGCAAGGGGTTTGGACAGTCTACAAGTCCTCAGACCCAGAGACACATGAGGCCTGTGGCCAAGGGGCTGGGATCTGGTCTGCCACCTCCCAGAGCTCCAGAGAAAACGGGAGTGGCAAATCCCATTGCTGGCCCCCACCCTTCCCAGGAAGGTGCCTCAGCTCTGGGCTTTTCTTGCTGGAAAGAAAAAGCTATATCCTTGGGATATAGCTTTGCATTCCTGGCACTCCAGTGCAAGGACACATCAAGGCTCCCCCTCCACCTTCTCATCGCTCTACCTCCCTTCCTCTGCAAGGTTTCTGACGCCGGTGTTTGCAGGAAGAGTTACCAGGAAGAGCATCAGAAAAAAGTCAGAGAGGATGTGGAGCAAGAATAAGGAAGGGCTGGCCTTGCTGGGAGAGCCTGTTTTGTTGTTGTTGTTTGTTGTTTTTTTTGTTTGTTTGTTTTTGAAACAGAGTCTCACTCTGTCCCCCAGGCTGGAGTGCAATGGCGCGATCTTGGTTCACTGCAACCTCCACTTCCTGGGTTCAAGCAAGTCTCCTGCCTCAGCCTGGGATTATAGGCACCTGCCACCACAGCTGGCTAATTTTTGTATTTTTAGTAGAGATGGGGTTTCACCATGCTGGCCAGGCTGGTCTCAAACTCAGGTGATCTGCCTACCTCGGTCTCCCAAAGTGCTGGGATTATAGGCAGAGAGTGTTTTTGCATGTGCATGTGTAAGCACACACACGGGAAGGCACATGTGTGGGTGAGTGTGTACATAGCTGAGGAGGCAAATGTGGGGTGTGAAGGTGTGTGTGTGGATGTGGATGGCAGAGAGGCTAGAGGTATGAGTGAAGTGTCTGCACAGGGGTGCTGCTACACTGGGGATCATGAATGTGTCTAGAAAGTCTCACAGCACAGTGCCACCAGCTCTCATACCCCAGCTGCCCTGCAGAATGCCCAGAGGCATTTTCTTTTCTTTTTTTTTTGAGATGAAGTCTTGCTCTGTTGCCCAGGCTGGAGTGCAGTGGCATAATCTCAGCTCACTTCAACCCGGGTGGAGACCTCCCAGGATCAAGCAATTCTCCTGCCTCAGCCCCAGCCTCCTAAGTAGCTGGGACCACAGGCACCTGCTACCACACCCGGCTGATTTTTGTATTTTTGGTAGAGATGGGGGTGGGGGGGGTTTCACCATGTTGGCCAGGCTAGTCTCGAACTCCTGACCTCAGGTGATGCACCCACCTCAGCCTCCCAAAGTGCTGGGATTACAGGCGTGAGCCACCGCACCTGGCCCAGAGGCATTTTCTAAGCCTTGGATTCCCGAGCCTTACTCCAGGAGATTCTGACTCCTTATCTGTGAGATGGAGCAGGGCCTCTGCTGGTTCCGAAGGGAAACAGAGGTCAAGAGTCAGGGACACTGGGGTTAAGAATGCTGGTGGTGGGGTCAGCCTGGCCAAGGTCTAAACCCCCAGATCTGCTCCTTCTCGCTGAGGGATCCGGGGCAAGTTATTGAAGCTTTCTAGCTTTCAGTTTCCACATCAGGATAACAAGAAAATGGTAATACCTATCTCGTAAAGAGGTTATGAGAAGGAAATGTGGAGCATGGTATTGGATAAACAGCGCTCCATCAACAGCACCTATTTTTATTCTTATGAATGCAGGGATTATATATAAATGTCTCCATGACCATCTATAGCTGTGTGGGGTTGGGGGGATGAATGTGTATAAACGTGTGTATCTGGCCATTTGAGGAGCTGAGGGAGATGCATATGTACGAATGTGTGTGTGATATGAGTGTCCATATAAGAGAATTTATGGCAGTGAGAGATGGGAGGTGTGCATATGTGAGTATTTGGCTGAGTGGATGGCTGAGAGCAGAGGAGAAAGGTTTCTTGGGAAGAAGGAGTCTGAATGCATCAGAATGCCTTGAGCCCACTCAGCCACCCCCATCACCCAGAGTTCTTGGAAGCTGCTATTGTACTAGGTGGTTCCCAGCAGCCCGGCTACCCCGCAGCCCCTCCTTTGCCTCCCCTCCCAGCAGTGCCAGCTGAGGCAGGGGTTCCTACCCTACACCACCATCATTAACTTGGGATTAAGCTGGGCTCCCCAGCCGAGACGAAGCCATCACCGCCTGCCGCCTCCACCTCCGAGGCCTGGGGCGGCAGTGAAGGAGAATGGCACGAGGGATGTCTGCACCGGGCCATTTCTGGGAGCCCTGCCTCCTACCTTATTGTGAGAGCTGCTTAGCAGCTGCCCTCTCTCCCAGGGGGCCAGGGCTGGGCCTCAGCTGCAGCATGGGGCCACCCCCTGCCCCTGGAAGAGGACTGACGGCTGGATGCGCTAGGAAAGGAAGTAATTGGTTAATGGGGATCCCTTTCCCCAGGACCCACCAAGGAAGGCCTGAAATCAGCTGTGTTAAGAGGTAGAAGCCAATTAGGGATGGCCCAGCTCCCACCTGACACCGCAGAGGCAAAACAGACTGTCCCTGCCAGTGAGCAGAAAGCCCACCCAGCCCTGTCAGCACAATGGTGCATGAAGAGAGGGGGTCTGCCCCCTTTGCCTGTGTGGTACCCATTGGTCCAGCAAGCTCAGGAGGAATAGATCTATCTGTGCCACAGACATGCTGGGTGACCATGGGCAAGTCATTCCCTTCTCTGGACATTTCCTAAATTGTGATACTGGAATTGCATGAAACTGCCACCAAAGCAAACTGCCCACCCTCCCCACACCATAAGGCCGTCCTCCTCCTCCAAGTCCCCACCCCACCCCACCCCACGCGTGGCTCCAGCAGAGCACACTCTCCATGCCTGCCACCTTCCGAGGGTTTGTCTGGCCGAATCCTCACACAGACCCTGGGAGGTGAATTCATATGCTTTTCATTTTACAGGTGAAGACATTGAGGCTCAGAAAGGTTCTATAACTTTCTAAGGTCCCACGGCTAGTAGAGGGCCCGCCTAGTCTCCAAGCCCAGGCCTCATCGGTCCTCATTGCCCCAGGAGGGGTATTAGACTCCAGGGACACACCTCGTCTCTGTATGTTTGTGGTTGGTGATGTCTGCACCTCACACCCCGCAGATCAGTTTTTCTGGAAGGCTCCCTTAAAGCCCCCTGGGAGGCAGGACTGCCTCCATGGTGAGGCCCAGCATCTTGAACATTAGTTGCTCTTAAGGCGTTTGCCACCGTGCATGGTCACTTTCCTGTCTCCCTCCTGGGACTGCAGGGAGCCCCTTGAAGAAGAGAAACTGTGTCTTCATCATTTTTACAAGCCAGTCTCTAGCCCAGTGCTGGGGACAGAGCAGGTGCTCAATACCTGAGTGTGGGATGGGTGCTTGACTAAACTAATATGACCAGATGGGGCCTGCCCAGCCTATTTACATTCAATTTTAATTTAATTCAGATAATACAAAATGTAAAATGTCATCCCTCTGTCGCAGTAGCCACATGTCAAGTTCTCAGCAGCCCCACGTGGCGACTGGTTACCACACTGAACAGTGCAGAAAAGGGAACATTCCAGCATCACAGAAAGTTTTACTGGACAGCACAGTCCAAGAGGCCAGGCTCCAGCCAGGCCCAGGCTCTGAGGCCTCTGGTGGTGTCATCACCTGCAGCCTGGAGTTCAGCCCTGGGATCCCCAACCACCTTCGGGCCTGTCTTTGAAGACCAGCCCCTCAGTGTGCTATTCCCAGAGGAGTCCACGGAGGAGCAGGTGTTGCTGGCGTGCCGCGCCCGGGCCAGCCCTCCAGCCACCTATCGGTAAGGCCTTTGCAGTGGGTGCTGGGAGGCCCTGGGCAGCCACTGAGCACTGTCCCACACCAGCCCTGCCACCAGGCAGGACTCAGAGGTCCCCTTCCTCCATCTGCTGCTGCAGGTGGAAGATGAATGGCACCGATATGAAGCTGGAGCCAGGTTCCCGTCACCAGCTGGTGGGGGGCAACCTCGTCATCATGAACCCCACCAAGGCCCAGGATGCCGGTGTCTACCAGTGCCTGGCCTCCAACCCAGTGGGCACCGTCGTCAGCAGGGAGGCTGTCCTCCGCTTTGGCTGTGAGACCCGTGGGGGACCAAGATACTTTGGGAGAGGGGGAGAGAGGGCTAGGAGAAAGAACCCAGAAAGAGCAAGTGACACCCTCAAGCCAGGCCTTCCTGACCTCACGTAACATGTCATAGTGAACTGCTGCTTCTCTGTGAAGAATGAGTCAGGAAGGGGGCTCCCAGGCCAGGGAGACAGTGCCTAAGCCTCTGGTCTCTGCCTCCAGTTCTGCAGGAATTCTCCAAGGAGGAGCGAGACCCAGTGAAAACTCATGAAGGCTGGGGGGTGATGTTACCCTGTAACCCACCTGCCCACTACCCAGGTGAGTCCAGCCCTTGGGCCAGGGCTAGAGAGGGCACAGGAAAGGCTTCCAGATGCTTGGCAGAGGAAGCATGGAATAAACGGTGACCCCTGGAGATGACCCTTAGAAGCACTCATTCCTGGGGCCCCAATTTTCAATGCTCTGTGTTTCCTTTATGGGTCTGTCATTTTCTATCTCTGTGCCCTGCTTCTGCCTCCAAACTAGGTGGTCCCTGAGGGCTACCATCCCTGGCAGACTTAATGCTCCCTGAGGGCAGGAATAAGGTCACTTCTGTCTAGGTCTCCCCTTAGCACCTGTTCAGAGCATGGTGGGGGGACTTGCAGAACCCACCAGCATGCTGGGGCCCCACCCAGCGTGGCCCTGTTAGCCCAGCACCCCCTGGTTTCCTCCAACTCCTCACATCTTAGGCTTGTCCTACCGCTGGCTCCTCAATGAGTTCCCCAACTTCATCCCGACGGACGGGCGCCACTTCGTGTCCCAGACCACAGGGAACCTGTACATTGCCCGAACCAATGCCTCAGACCTGGGCAACTACTCCTGTTTGGCCACCAGCCACATGGATTTCTCCACCAAAAGCGTCTTCAGCAAGTTTGCTCAGCTCAACCTGGCTGCTGAAGGTCAGGCCTGGCCAGGCGTGGCTGGAGGGAGGGAGCGGGAAGGGTCAGCGGGCATTGAGAAAAGGGTTTTTTCCTTGGAAATTGGAAGATCAGTGCACAGAGCACTGATTCCAGGGCCTGGACTCCCAGATCCTCCTGCTTCAAATCCTCAGGCCCCTGCCCCAGGCCCCAAGGGGAAAGGAAGTCTTCTGAGACTCCACATAGCTGTCCAGACAGAGTTGGCTCTGAAAGGTACTGAAATCTCAAGGACAGGAGCACCTGACCTGGAGTCAGCCTCATCTGACCTATAAAACCCCTCTCTCCCCAGACACCCGGCTCTTTGCACCCAGCATCAAGGCCAGGTTCCCAGCAGAGACCTACGCGCTGGTGGGGCAGCAGGTCACCTTGGAGTGCTTCGCCTTTGGGAAGTGAGTGGGAAGAGGGAGGGGGGCCAGGGCACAGCCTCTTGGGGGCACAAGTGACCCTAGGGTGAGGGCAGGCAGAGTCAGGGCTCACTCATTTTGGTGTCCCTCATAGGGTCTAGCAAAGTACTGGGTGCACAGTGGGTATTGACCAGCACTCACTGGACACTAACTCTCTGGGTGAGACATGGCATGTGCCAGGGGCCTTCCATGTCCTGGTTTACTTGGTCCTTCAGCAGTGCATGGCAGGCTCAAACAGCTTGAGTAACACCTAGGGCTGGAGGCAGGCAGCACAGTGTACTGCCTCCAACCCAGTCTGCCTCGTTCAAATCCCAGTTCTGCCACGCGCCGGCTGGGAGATGTTGGGTAAACTGCCTAACCTCTCTGTGCCTCAGTCTCTTTATGGCGGCGATAATAGTACCTACCTCATAGGTTGTTATGAGGATTAAATGAGTTCATGTATGTGAGGTGCTTAAAACAGTGCCGGAATTTAGTTAAGTTTCCATGAACGTTAAGAGTGACCTATTTGAGAATCACAACACAAAGCATTCTCTTTCTTGCACTCCCAGAAAAAGGATTCGCTGGAACAGGGCTAAGCAAACAGTAGGTGCTCAATAAATGTTTGTAGAATGAAAGAATGTGATCTGTACTTTGGCCCCCTCCTCCCTCAACTGTCTCGCGTGGTTACCTGGGATAACCTTTGCCTTGTGGGAAGTTTTGGGCTGCCAGAAAATCCGCATGGGAGGGGAATATATTAAACCATTAAAACTGACACCTCAGTCCATTTTATTGCACAGATTACTAATAACTAAAGTCCCTTTGAAAAGTAGGGGCAAGGCCTGCCCTGTCGAGGCAATGGAAAAGGGAAACCATAAAGACCCAGGTCACAGGCCACCATGGTGGAGGGCAAACCAGAGGCATGGAGACCAGTGCAGGGGAGGGCAGGCAGCTTCAGGGTGCAGATTGTTGGAAGGCCAGCTTCACTGGCTCCAGGGCCCCTTCCCTGCATGTGCACAGAGCCTACTTGGGAGAAGAGCATGAGGATCAGCCGGAAGGCACCCTTCCTCCCTTGGTTCCTCCCAGCCCCAGCATCTCAGGAGGGTCTGAGAGTCTGGGTATGAGGAGCTGCGGGCACTGGAGGGGTAGACCCAGCTCAGCCCACATCCTCTGGATTTGTCTCTCCTCCCAGCCCTGTCCCCCGGATCAAGTGGCGCAAAGTGGACGGCTCCCTGTCCCCGCAGTGGGCCACGGCTGAGCCCACCCTGCAGATCCCCAGCGTCAGCTTTGAGGATGAGGGCACCTACGAGTGTGAGGCGGAGAACTCCAAGGGCCGAGACACTGTGCAGGGCCGCATCATCGTGCAGGGTACAGAGCTGGGGACACCTTCTCCACCCCTCCCGAACCCCCTTCCCGCTCTCACCCTGGTCCCCAAGGAAACAGACCCAAAAGTCAGGAAGGAGACTGGGAGGCCCCCTGCATGAGCCCGCTTGCCCTAGGACTGCATTGAGCCTGGGACTAGAAGAGGCTGGTGCTGTGGTCAGCTCAGAGCTGCAGTGTCAGGGGTGCAGAAAGCACACAGGAGGCTCCAGGATGATTTAAGTTTGTAAAGCAGCCACTGGCACAACCACAGAGTGCCAGCTTTCTTGGGCTTCCTTCTTCCTGCCCTGTCCTCTTTGTCCTCTCTCTCCCGGAGTGCTGATGGCGCCCTCTGCTGTCTGGCACAGGTACTGCTGCTCTGGTTTTCTGTTTCCTTTAATGAGCTGGAAGCTCCTCCTAGCTCATGCCAGGTTTTCTTTCCCCGGCTCGCACAGCTCAGCCTGAGTGGCTCAAAGTGATCTCGGACACAGAGGCTGACATTGGCTCCAATCTGCGTTGGGGCTGCGCAGCTGCCGGCAAGCCCCGGCCTGCAGTGCGCTGGCTGCGGAACGGGGAGCCTCTGGCCTCCCAGGTAGGAGACATGGGGCTTCCTCCCACACATCACAATTCTGCTCAACTGCTTCCCTCACCCCCCAGAACTCCCCCTGCACCACTGGTAGCCTCTCTGGGCTAATGAGGGTGTCATATGGTGATCCTAGGTGCTTCTTCCCATCCCACTCCCATGTCCACAGGCTGGGCCTGGATTCAGGCACAATTCAGCCACAAAATAAGTGATGAGGTCCTGAGTCGGTCACCTCACCCGTCCAGCTTTGGGGAGGCCTGGGTAATCTGCATCCTGAGGTTCCAGGTGGTCCTGGGGTAGGACTGGACATACAAGCCACATCCTCTAGGGATTATCAGCCTAGAGTGTCCACTGCCCCCATCCCTACCAACCCCTCCTCCCTTGGGCTCCAGTGTTCCTGATCCCCTGGGCTCTGGGCTCTTCTGCACAGAACCGGGTGGAGGTGCTGGCCGGGGACCTGCGGTTCTCCAAGCTGAGCCTGGAGGACTCAGGCATGTACCAGTGTGTGGCAGAGAATAAGCATGGTACCATCTATGCCAGCGCGGAGCTGGCTGTGCAAGGTAAGGGGCCCGGAGAGGTCCCAAGGACATGCATAGGGTGGCTTTCGGAGCTCTGAGTTTAGGTGTCTCCAAACACACACACACATACCCTGTAGCAATTTTCCTTGGTTGTCCAACAGCTTCTAAGTAGGAGAACTCAGAGATTTAAGAAAGGAGATGAGCCAGGAGCAGTGGCTCACACCTGTATTTTGGGAGGTGGACATGGGCGGATCTTGAGGTCAAGAGATTGAGACCATTCTGGCCAATATGGTGAAACCCCATCTCTACTAAAAATACAGAAAAAATTAGCTGGGTGTGGTGGCGCACGCCTGTAGTCCCAACTACTCGGGAGGCTGAGGTGAGAGAATCGCTTGAACCTGGGAGGCAGAGGTGGCACTGAGCTGAGATCACACCACTGCACTCCAGTCTGGTGACTGAGTAAGACTCCATCTCAAAAAAAAAAAAAAAAAAAAAAAAGAAGAGGAGACACAGGGCTAACAGCTGCCAGAGGGCAGGGTCTCTGTCTTGTTCCATGTCTGGCACACAGTAAATGTTCGCTACAGTGAAAAAAATGCCAACCAAATCAGGTCTGTTTAACGCAACCCCTTCAGCCATGTGAGTTTAGCAAGTTACTGTGTTTCTGTGTTCCAGTTTCTTGATTATAAAATATGGGCAATAATAGCCCTGCCCTCCTGGGCTGCTGCATGGACCAAATGAAATGAGACAGGTACAGCATAAAGGGCCTGCCCATCATACAACAGGTGCCTGGGAAATGTCAGCCAGTGCTAATGTTTAGTTGTGTGACTTGAGCTCACTGAGCCTTTGTTTCCTCATCCATTATACAGACACAATGCTACCTACCACATCAAGTTTTAGTGAAGCGTTGCTAAGAAGCATTCATTCATTCCTTAATCCATTCAACCAATATTTATGCAACCCCTCATAGGGGATGGATATGAAAAATACGATCTCTGCCTTTAAGTAGCTTACAATCCAGTAGAGGGAAAGGGACAAATAAACCCAAAATCAAACAATTAAATAATTTCAGCTAGTAGGGTGAAGTTATTATCCAGGCAGGGTGCAGTGGCTCAGGCCTGTAATCCCAGCACTTTGGGAGCCTGGGGCGGGTGGATTGCCTCGAGCTCAGAAGTTCGAAACCAGCCTGAGCAACATGATGAAACCCCATCTCTATGAAAAATACAAAAATCAGCCAGGCTTGGTGGCACACACTTGTAAGCCCAGCTACACGGGAGACTGAGGCAAGAGAATCACTTGAGCCCTGGAGGCAGAGGCTGCAGTGAGCTGAGATTATCCCATTGCACTCCAGCCTGGACAACAGAGCAAGACCCTGTCTTAAAAAAAGAAAAGAAAATCCAGTAGAGTGATGGGCCTGAGATGGGCCTGTTAGATGGGGTGGTCGGAGAAGACCTCTCTGAGGAAGTCCCATTTAGGCTGTGACCTGAATGTTAAGGAGCCAGCTGCCTGAAGATGGGGGAATTTCCAGGCAAGATTTACCAAGTCTGGAGGCAGGAAAAGACTTCACAACTACGAGAGAGAGAAAAAAAGCTAGGTGATGGGAACATAACGAATGGGGGAGAGAGTGGAGCAAGATGTGATTGGAAAGGTGGAGATTTATTTGTGAAGAGCCATATTTCACTGAGAGTGAGTTGAAAAAGCTATGTATTCCCAGCTGGGTGGAGAAGAGATTGTAGGAGGAAGGTGCAGAAACAGGATGACAGATGCAGGGTGTCGGGGATTGTCGGGGATTGTCGGGGAGGGGGGTGTTGTCAATAGTCCAGCCAGATTTGATGGCTTAGGCCAGAAAAAGTGGGGCTTGGTTCTGGAAGAGGTGCTGGTAGGATTCACTCATGGGGTGGCCTCAAAGGGCAGGCCAGGTGACGTGTTAAGGGTGACAGTACTTTTCTCTGTGGCTTTGCCCTTTTCCTTCTAGCACTTGCCCCTGACTTTAGGCTGAATCCCGTGAGGCGTCTGATCCCTGCAGCCCGTGGGGGAGAGATCGTCATCCCCTGCCAGCCACGTGCAGCTCCAAAGGCCGTGGTTCTCTGGAGCAAAGGCACGGAGATTTTGGTCAACAGTAGCAGGTACCACCCACACCCCACCCTGCACAGTTCCTGCTCCTCCTCGTTCCCCATGGAAGCCAGTTCCCCTCCTATGACAATAGTCATGGGAGTTGGCCAGTCCCAGGGGACAACTGTCCCTGAGTTGACCACATCTGCTTTGTCCTTGCCACAGAGTGACTGTAACACCAGATGGCACCTTGGTCATAAGAAACATCAGTCGGTCAGATGAAGGCAAATACACGTGCTTTGCTGAGAACTTCATGGGCAAAGCCAACAGCACTGGAATCCTGTCTGTGCGAGGTGAGGGCTGCCACATGGGGAGGCCGGGGGCTCAGCCTCCTCGGGGTGCTGTCCTCTCCATCATCCTGCTCCTGTGTCCCACACTGCTCCTAGTTTGGTGTCATGGCCACCCCAGGATTTAGTTTGGCTTGAGACCACGCCCCGGCCACCTTCGAGATTCTGGTCATGCCTCCCAGCCTGCCACACACTCCTGCAGTCCTGGGCAGTTGGGACATCTGTGGTTCACACGACCTCTTCTCTTTGCCCGGCCATAGGACAGAGCCTCTCAGCCTGCCCTGCGGCCGGTGCCTGGGCCCTTTTCCTCCCCCATCCACCCAGGGACCGTGTTCTTCTTGGCAGATGCAACCAAGATCACTCTCGCCCCTTCGAGTGCTGACATCAACGTGGGTGACAACCTGACCCTACAGTGCCATGCCTCCCATGATCCCACCATGGACCTCACCTTCACCTGGACCCTGGATGACTTCCCCATTGACTTTGATAAGCCCGGAGGGCACTACCGGAGAACCAGTGTGGTGAGGCCTATAGCCAGAGCCCCATGGCTTCTCCCTGCTTCCAGACAGACAGGAGCCCCAGAATGTCCGTAGCCATCACCACCGTTAAGTCCCCCACAGCCTAAGCTTCCCTGTTCACTCAGGCCCATGCATGGAAAGCTCACCCTTGGATGAAGAGCCATCCTTCCTGGGTTCTACCCAGGAACCATGCATTTAGGAATTGTGGGCACCCACCAAGACACTCCCACTACTGCTCTTGTTAGCCTAACCCCAGGGGCAAAGGACATTATTAATTTGGACAGTCACTGACCGTCTCCTGAAACAAACTTCATTGTTTAGTCCCCAGTGGTTCTGAGTGATGAGTAGTGATTCCTCCCACTGAACAGGCAGGAAAACTGAGAAGCAGCGGGGCCCATGGATGTCATGGAGCAGGGCACTCGTGTCTCATGGCCTGCTGCCCGGGTCAGGGCCAGTGCTTTGACCTGCTGCCCCTAATTGTCCCATGTGCAGAAGGAGACCATCGGGGATCTGACCATCCTGAATGCTCAGCTGCGCCATGGGGGGAAGTACGCGTGCATGGCCCAGACGGTAGTGGACAGCGCATCCAAAGAGGCCACAGTCCTGGTCCGAGGTGAGGGGTTTCCCCCTCTACCCCTACCCCAACTCCCTTAAAGTCCAGCTGGGCTGTTCTGACCTGCTCATCTCCTCTACCCCTACCCCAACTCCCTTAAAGTCCAGCTGGGCTGTTCTGACCTGCTCATCTCCTCTACCCCTACCCCAACTCCCTTAAAGTCCAGCTGGGCTGTTCTGACCTGCTCATCTCCTCTCCCCTCCTCTCCCTCAAAGCTGTGGGAAGGGCTTCTGGCAGAAATCCTGTGAGCTGGACATATCCCGTGGTTGTTCACAGGTCCTAAATGAGTAGGACGTTTTTCTTCCAAAGCCAACATTTAAAAAACCCACCCCGCTCAGGTGTGGTGGCTCACGCCTGTAATCCCAGCACTTTGGGAGGCCAAGGTGGGTGGATCACGAGGTCAGGAGTTTGAGACCAGCTTGGGCAATATGGTAAAACCCTGTCTCTACTAAAAAATACAAAAATTAGCTGGGCGTGGTGGTGCATGCCTGGAGTCCCAGCTACTTGGGAGGCTGAGGCAGGAGAATCGCTGGAACCCGGGAGGTGGAAGTTGCAGTGAGCGGAGATCACACCACCACATTCCAGCCTGGAGACAGAGCGAGACTCTATCTCGAAAAAAGAAAAGAAAAGAAAGAAATCCACTCCTAAACACATCCCAAGGCAGGAGTGTTTTACTGACCTGAAGTTTTCAAAGCCTAGTGCTGGGAAATCTATGTACCTCTCCATGTGAGCCCTCCACCCCGAGACACATCCCTTCCACCCTCCAACTGGCACTCGCCCTGACTGCCCACATCCCCTGCCTGCTCTCCCGCCTGGGTCTGTTCACTGCGCCCTCTGCTGTCCTGTCTTGGTACTGTACCAGCCCAAACCTGGCCTGATGGAGGTTGGCTCAAATTATAAGCTGCCCAATTCTGACCCATTGTGCTTTGACCTCTTGGTGCAGGTCCGCCAGGACCCCCAGGAGGCGTGGTGGTGAGAGACATTGGCGACACCACCATCCAGCTCAGCTGGAGCCGTGGCTTTGACAACCACAGCCCCATCGCTAAGTACATCCTGCAAGCTCGCACTCCGCCTGCAGGGAAGTGGAAGCAGGTTCGGACCAGTAAGTGTGAGCCCTACCCGGGTCAGTGCTGATAAGGCCTGGCTGGGTGTAGGAGGTGGGAAGGGTCAAGGGTTGGGGATCGGGGGTCTGAGGGCCAGGGCTGAGCCTATAGTTTCTAAGTGGGACACACTTTGCCCTCTGCCAGCAGGGAGCACGCAGGCAAGCAGGAAGACAGTCATACAGAGAGTAGGAGAGTAGGGAGAGAATTCGAGGAGGAGGCGCTCAGTCTGTGCCCTTGAAGAATTGGTAGGATTGTTACTGGAGCAATGAAAATATTCGTGGGGGCATGGGGGTGCACACAGCATTAGCAGAGGCACCAGGATAGGGAAATTGACTAGATTTTCAATCACTTCTGAAAGAGATATTGAGAGCTTAGTATATGGCAAGTACTGAAGTGAGGGCTGGGTAGAAAGTGGTGATTCAGGCCAATGCCTGCCCTCTGCATCCGGATGAATGAGCGAATGCTGGACTCCCTGGTGCCTTGCAGATCCTGCAAACATCGAGGGTAATGCAGAGACTGCGCAGGTGCTGGGCCTCACCCCCTGGATGGACTATGAGTTCCGGGTCATAGCCAGCAACATTCTGGGCACTGGGGAGCCTAGTGGGCCCTCCAGCAAAATCCGGACCAAGGAAGCAGGTGAGAGTCCTAAGTGCCCCAAAGAACTATCATCAGGGCAGAGACCCTGGCCCCACTTAAAGGGAGCACCAAGCCAGCCGCAGTTATGCTGGGTTCCGACACTGCTCACGGGCTGCAGACTCTCACAAAACAGACGAGGAGGGAACACCAAGTTGGCACCAGGGCCACTGCATGGACAGACCATCTAGTCCAAACTCCTCATTTAAAAACTGGCCACTGTTACAACTGCATGTGAATCTATCATTTTTTTAAGTTTAATTTTTTAAAGTGGAAAAAGCAAAGTTCGGAGAAAGGAAGAGTCCCGTTGGCAGAGCTTGGACTTGAACCCAGGACCACGAGGTGGTAGACAGATGTCCTCCTGGAGAGTATGCACTACAGAAATCAGTTAATGCTGGCCGGGCGTGGTGGCCCATGCCTGCAATTCCAGCACTTTGGGAGGCCGTGGCAGGTGGATTACCTGAGGTCAGGAGTTTGAGACCAGCCTGGCCAACATGGTGAAACCCTGTCTCTACTAAAAATACAGTTAGCGGGGCATGGTGATGCACACCTATAATCCCAGCTACCCAGGAGGCTGAGGCAGGAGAATGAGTTGAATCTGGGAGGTGGAGGTTGCAGTGAGCCAAGATCACACCACTGCACTCCAGCCAGGGTGACAGAGTGAGACTCCATCTCAAAAAAAAAAAAGGAATCAGTTGATGCAGAAGGTGTGTGTGTGTGTGTGTGTGTGTGTGTGTGTGTGTGTGTTTTCCATGCAGCGGGCTAGGGAAACAGCCAGGGTCTCCAAGGTTTTTTTGGCAGCAGAAGGAATGAATAATCTGCCCACAACCCTCAGCACAAAGCATGTGGGTGTCAGAACCTGAGTGGGGAGGGAGGGAGAGAAGAGAACACAGGAGAGAAGGGGGAGGTACAGGCCCCAGTCAGATCTGCTGAGAGGCTCCTGCCCATCTCCACACCATTCACAGGGGAAGGCCTGAAATGAAAGCCCTGGGATCCTGGGATGGGCAGCATAGAATCAGAACCCTGCCTCCCATCCTCTCACCTTACCAGACCAGTTACACTGGATGTGTAGTGAGGGTCCACCTTCTTGTCTCCCTGAAACATGTTCTCCTATATGCCCCCGACTGACTCTTCAGGCCCTTTTTCTGGAATCACTCAACATTTTTAGCTGGTGCCTCTCCTGAGTAAGAAATTCAGAGGGAGCACTTTCTTGGATTGATCCTGAACTTCTTGGAGAATCAAATGTGGAGAAGTGAGGGGACTCCTTTATTCTGTTAATAGTATTCCAGGAGCCGAGGTGCACAAAGACAGCTGTGATGCAAAGGAAGGATGATGGGCTTTAAAATCAGAAGGGCTGAGTTCAGATTCTCCTATGCCATGTGTTAGCTGTGTGACTTTAGGCAAGTTGATTAACTGCTCTGGGCCTCAGCCCTTCCACCCTGAAAAGGGCAATAATAGCACCCACTTCACAGGATCAACTGGCCAATGTGGTTTTGTTGTTTGGTTTTTTTTTTTCTTTTCCTGAGCCAGAGTCTTGCTCTGTTGCCCAGGCTGGAGTGCAATGGAACGATCTCGGCTCACTGCAACCTCTGCCTCCCGGGTTCAAGCAATTCTCCTGCCTCAGCCTGCTGAGTAGCTGGGATCACAGGCATGTACCACCATACCCAGCTAATTTTTTGTATCTTTAGTAGAGATGGGGTTTCACCATGTTGGCCAGGCTGGTCTTGAACTCCTGACCTCGTGATTCACCCACCTCGGCCTCCCATAGTGCTGGGATTACAGGCGTGAGCCCCCACTCCCGGCCTCAAATGGCCAATGTGTTTAAGCGTCTCTTGCAAATTATAAGGCCCTAAACTATTGTCATCAGAAGCAAGTGAAAAATCTCCAGCTGCTGGATTCTCCGAGGAGATATTTTGACCCCCAGCCAAGTTACTCCCTGCCAAGCTGCAGGAGATGATGAAATAAACTCTTGTTTTAATATCAGCCTTGTTTAATACTAGAGACAATTAGATTAAATGTGCAACAAAAAGAATAACAATATATCACCCTGGAGCGCAAAAGTAGTTCATTTTGTTTCTTTGTTTGCATTAACTGCAGTTCTGGGTTATTTTTTCCACTTATTTGAAAGCAAATGGGAGTTGTTCTCTGTGATGTAGTTTAAGCTGATGGAGTGAGGAGGGCAGTGGTTATGTGCGCATCATCCGCTCTATGCTAACCACCATCTTGTTCAATTTCCTTCTCATTATGGCCTCTGAGAGAAACATGATTATCTTCATGGGGAAGAGAATCAGAGACTCAGAAAGGTTAAGTAACTTGCCCAGGGAAACACAGCTAGTAAATGGCAGAGGTGGGATTTGATCTCAGAACTGTGTGACTCCGGAGCCCACGTTCAGAGGGACCACTGGAGGACAAACACAGGGCCCAGTTGAAGGGGCTCCCCATCTTATGATGCTCTACAGGTGCAGGCTCGGGCTTTCATTTCTTCCTTGCTCATTAACAAGCCCTATCTGTGTCCCTTGGTGCCTGACAGTCCCCTCGGTGGCACCCTCAGGACTCAGCGGAGGAGGTGGAGCCCCTGGAGAGCTCATCGTCAACTGGACGGTAAGCTGGCAGGGTCAGATGTCCTCTTCCTCCTCCCTGACTCCTCTCCCGCTTGAGCAGCTCCCAAAAGGACCACTGCACAGCTCTGACTCAAAAGCAGACAACTTCCTCTCCCCTCTCCCATGCACCCACTGCCCTTCACTCGAATCCATGCTGCAGGCACAGCTGTCCAGGGCTGCCACTCTTGGCAAAGGTTGGGTGGGGCCAGGAAATGGGCAGGGACACGTGCCTCGGACCCTCGCCCATGCCACGCTCTTGCCCCTCAGCCCATGTCACGGGAGTACCAGAACGGAGACGGCTTCGGCTACCTGCTGTCCTTCCGCAGGCAGGGCAGCACTCACTGGCAGACCGCCCGGGTGCCCGGCGCCGATGCCCAGTACTTCGTCTACAGCAACGAGAGCGTCCGGCCCTACATGCCCTTTGAGGTCAAGATCCGCAGCTACAACCGCCGTGGGGATGGGCCTGAGAGCCTCACTGCACTCGTGTACTCTGCTGAGGAAGGTGGGCTGCCCCCAGGCCCACTGCTCATCCCTACCCCAGCTGCTCGTCCACAGGGGTGTGGGGTGGGGGAACGCTACTCATCCCCCGGCTCAATTCCATAGGAGGTCAGAGGACACCTGGGTTCCATACCACTGGCCTCACTTCCAGGCCTTGCTACCTTGTCTCCCTTCAGGATCGGGGGAAGGAAAAGGGAGGCTCTCTGGGGTGAGAAGTGGACCCTGGAGCATTGCCTGTGGGGCTCCCACTCAGCCTTCCTCCTGGGCCCTGTACTCTCCTCCAAAATCTTAAGCAAAGGCAATCCTGGTCCAGGGCTGCTCTGCAGGACACAGTGGGGCCCTGGGAATCCAAACCCATTCTGTATCGGTCCCCAGAGCCCAAGGTGGCCCCTACCAAGGTCTGGGCCAAAGGGGTCTCATCCTCAGAGATGAACGTGACCTGGGAGCCCGTGCAGCAGGAGATGAATGGTATCCTCCTGGGGTATGAGGTGAGCACCAACCTGGGGCTTGGGAGAGGAAGGGGTGCTGGGGACAACTCACAGCTCACTAATCGTTCCTCCTGGTGTCCCTGGTTCACTGACATGGCAAACTGAGCATCTAGTCTATCAGAGCTATGGATGCAAACTTCACTAAGACCCACGGCAGGCTGGGTGCCGTGGCTCACTCCTGTAATCCCAGCACTTTGGGAAGCGGAGGTGGTGGATCGCCTGAGGTCAGGAGTACACCAGCCTGGCCAATATGGTGAAACCCCACCCCCACTAAAAATACACAAATTAGCTAGGTGTGGTGCACATACCTGTAGTCCCAGCTACTCAGGAGGCTGAGGCAGGAGAATCGCTTGAGTCCAGGAGGTGGAGGTTGCAGTGAGCAGAGATTGTACCACTGCACTCCAGCCTGGGAGACAGAGCGAGACTCCGTATCCAAAAAAAAAAAGACCCCATGGCTTATGACCATTAGGGGAAGACAGACCCCAGAGGCAGCCTTGAAGTAAATGCTTGGCTAGAACCTGTACTGGAAGCTGGGGGGCCAGGGTAAGAGGAACGGTTCTGGGAAGCGGCGTGGCCTGCCGCTTTCATGCCAGAACGATTCAGGCTGGCCTGTCCAGGGCTGCGGAGAACAGCCTGAGCTGCTGTATGTACAGCTGATCATCCTGTCTGGGGGGAACTTGGGACCAGCAGCCTGGCCTGAGTCCTGGGCCCACTGAGGACTCCACATAGGGGTACCTGTAGAGCAGACAGAAAGTGAGAAGAAGCAAGAGGAAGAGAAAGAAGGACAAGTAAGAAAGAACAGAACCATCAGGCTGGGTTGGGAGTTCGAGATCAACCTGACCCACATGGAGAAACCCCGTGTCTACTAAAAATACAAAATTAGCCAGGCATGGTGGTTCATGCTTGTAATCCCAGCTACTCAGGAGGCTGAGGCAAGAGAATCACTTGAACCCAGGAGGCAGAGGTGGTCGTGAGCCAAGATTGCACCATTGCACTCCAGCCTGGGCAACAAGAGTGAAATTCCGTCTCAAAAAAAAAAAAGAACCATCAGGCTGGGCCTACCAGTGATGGCACAAGTTTATTTCAGTAGAGTTCTCTAGATTTGAGCACGATAGCTTAGACAAGCCACAGTGTGGAGATAATTCCAGACTCTGCCCTTGATTTGAAAGCTCATTTAGCAGGTCTTCATGCTATGATTACCGTTAATATGGATTTGCATGCATTAGGCAGCCTTCAGATGCTTGCTTGCGGCAGGGTGACTGCTTTGCAGTACAAATAAGCATTTCCTATCCCTTAGCAGAATGCCCACGGTCACCCCTCTAGTTAATGAAATGAGGTGGGTTCCAGCCAGCCACTGCTAGGTTGAGCCTTGCTGCCCCATGTGTTGAGCACCTTCCTTGAACTAGGCACTAACAGACAGCAGGGATACACACTCACATGGTCCTGCTGTCTGGGTGCGCATGATCTAGTGTCCAGGTTCTGAGACCTGAGACTGAGTCACAGGGACCGGGATGAGCAAGAGAGGAACAGAATGTGGGGGGCCGGGGCAGCCCTGAGTTCCTCGGCTTGACTACTGCCCCTTGGGTGTCGCTGCCTCTTTCAGATCCGCTACTGGAGAGCTGGGGACAAAGAAGCTGCTGCGGACCGAGTGAGGACAGCAGGGCTGGACACCAGTGCCCGAGTCAGCGGCCTGCACCCCAGCACCAAGTACCATGTGACAGTGAGGGCCTACAACCGGGCTGGCACTGGGCCTGCCAGCCCCTCTGCCAATGCCACAACTATGAAGCCCCGTGAGTCTGTCTGCCTGGGGTGGGGATAGGGGAACGTGTTGGTGGGTGGGTGCCTCTGGGATCACTCTTTCCACAATGACAAGACAAATGCTCTAGCCCACCAGCCTCAGGGTGGACAGAAATTAGGCAGCGAACCTAATGGAAATAAGGGAATGAATTCAAGGCCTCTGAAGTGTCTCGTTCTTCCCCAACCTTTGGATTTTCATGGGCTTTGTTTCATGGGCAGGGCGACAGAATGTTCTGGGTGTAACTGCTAGAGGCAAACATCCAGGGAAGGGCTGGCTAAAGGTGAGGGGTTGCGGGGTGACAGGGAAATGTTTGGACATCCCTCCACTTCTCCCTCTCCGGCAGCTCCGCGGCGACCTCCTGGCAACATCTCCTGGACTTTCTCAAGCTCCAGTCTTAGCATTAAGTGGGACCCTGTGGTCCCTCTCCGAAATGAGTCTGCAGTCACCGGCTATAAGGTGAGGAAGGGGTCAGCCAGGTCCAGAATGGGAAGGAACAGCTCCTCTGTGTTTCCAGTGAACGCAGGAAACAGCAATTTATAGCAAGAGGCATCTGAGTGAGACATAAGCAAAGGGTTTGTGACCGTGAGAGGAATGAAATTCATGAACGATTCTCTCAGTAACTTGCAGTAGGAACTAGTAAAAACAGGCAGGCATATCACTGCAGAGAGGCAGAGTTCCCGGGGCAGTGAGGGACTAGGGGGGTGGAGTATGGGGGTCCTTCCAGCTTAAGGAGTCTACAGAAACAATTCAGTGGCCTGCAAGCTTTCCTCCTACCAGTGAGGAGCTTTGTCAATGGGGAGGAGGGGTGAGGAGGCTGGACCTCAAGGGCCCAGAACCATTCGGGCTCTTCCCAGTACCTAAAACTGGGGAGGACAGAATGATCAGCCCTGGTGTCAGGAAACTCCACCTGGAAACCTCCTTCCAACAGATGCTGTATCAGAATGACTTACACCTGACTCCCACACTCCACCTCACGGGCAAGAACTGGATAGAAATCCCAGTCCCTGAAGACATTGGCCATGCCTTGGTACAGATTCGGACCACAGGGCCCGGAGGGGATGGGATCCCAGCAGAAGTCCACATCGTGAGGAACGGAGGTGCCACCCCTCCCCTGTCCTTATCCCCCGAGAGTATCAGGGTCCACCCAGATGCCTGAGGGGATCATTCCCTCCTAGGTCAACTCCAATCTCGATCCCCAAGGGAAAGTGGAAGGCAGGCAGGAAGCAAGTGCAAAATAGTCCTAGAATTGCCTCGCTACCACCTTTCTACCCACCCCCCAAAACATCCCCAAGGGCCAGGGAAGGGAGCAGGTGCAGAGGGAGGCTGAACACCAATCAGCAAAAGCAAAGGGCCAACAAAACACCGTAGGAGTAGGGCTGAGACCACCCAGCCGTCCGCTCTCAGACCTGCAGCTGGCCCTGTGAGTCTCCTTAGGAAAGGTCCCCATCTTGTCACAAGGGTGGGGTTAGGATAGTCCCAGGCCCAGCTGACTCAGCTTATGCTGGTTTCAGGCACAAGCATGATGGTGGAGAATGCAGCAGTCCGCCCAGCAGCGCACCCTGGCACCATTGTTTCCTACTCTGTGGCGATGCTGATCCTCATAGGCTCCCTGGAGCTCTGATCTCAGCACCCCTCCCTCTGCGCCACAGCTGGAGGCCACCTCTGATGGACACAGCCAGCCGGCCCCTTCCTGCTGCCAAGGTGGCCTGACACTGTGCCAGAGAGTGGCTGGTTTTAAATACCTACTTTAAACAGTGCCCTTTTAGTAGGAGGTACGATATTTTATATCCTGCCACAGGATAGAACCCACGCAAGGATTTCCTTTAAATCGAAAGGCACCAGGCAGTAACTTCCAAGACGACACTGACGCCGATGCCTGAGTCCTCTAGGCTGCCTGAGGGAAGGAACAGGCCCATGGGAAGAAGGGGGTTCTAAAAATGTGTCTTCAATTCAGCAGAGATGGCTCTCTGGGACCCTATGTGGACTCCACCACTTGAGAGCAGTCCTAGGTCCGGCGGGAACACCAGACATAACAGGCTGAAGAGCTGGGGCGAAGGGCACACCTCATCATCCTTCAGTCTAAGGAGAAGGGCAAGCCCTGGGCCCAAGGACTCTCCTATCTTCTCCTCTTGAGCAGCAGCAAGGACCCTGACGCTGTCCCCAGTGACGCCCTAGGGGCTCCTGCCTACCCATGAGGCTGAGGACCAGTGCCCCAGTGCCTGAGTCTGGGAGCCTGAGCCCCTTCAGCTTTGAGGGGGTGATACTCTAGGCTGCTTGGAGTGGGAGCTAAAAAGAGATGAGAGGCTGGGGCCCTTGGTGGAAAGGGGCACCAGCCTTGGTCTGAGAGAGTCACAATCCAGGTGACGTTGCCCTCTAAGCCAACACTGCCAACCTGACCCTGTCATCCCCAGAGTGACAGTGCCACTTCAGGTGGCTGAGTGACTAAAGGGCTTGTCTTGGTGGGGTCCCCCACCCCTCCAAGACCCATCCTGCACAGTCCCTCCAGGGTTGGCAGGAGATGGCCAATCATGCACCTGCCTCTCCCTCCAGCTCTGCCTGCAGTCAGCTCGGCCTCCCCGACCTGCAGCCTTGACTCTGCTCTCCCAGCACTGACTCACTCCTGCCTGGGAGCGGAATGCAGCATTCGTGCTGTGTGTCCTGGAATAGGAGGCTTCTGGGAAGGGCAGAGGATACATGTGGCCCTCCCTGCTCCCAGGTATACCTAGGACCACCTGGCCAGGTCCACTCCCAGAGACCCTTGGACTGCTTGCATTTCCCCAGAGGAAAAGGGGTTAATAAATGGGCCATCCTTTCTTGAGTTCTGGGTATACTACCCGTCACAGAACGTCGGATCTGGAAGAGACCTTAGAGTTCAACTTCTCCAAGCCCCTCACTTTACAGATGAGGAAATGGAGGTGGTCCAGAGAGGGTCTGGGATTCCCAAGGTCACACAGCCCAGAAGAGATGGGGCTGGGTTAAGAACTTGAGTCACCCACCTTTTTGTTCAAGGCTCTTTGTCTACCCAGAGGAAGGAGGCAGTGCTGAATGGCTATGGCCTGGCTAAGAAGGTGGTCAGCCAGTGGGGTATGAAAATTCTACTTCAAGGGTAGATTGGTGATCATAGGGACTGGCATGGCTGGGTTCCCGTCCAAGGTGTGGGCAGATTCCAGGAGGCATCCAGTCCTTCTTGGCCTTCCGAGCCTAGCGTCTGCCTAACTTCAGCATGCAGTGCTGACTTAAAGCCCCTGTCCCTCTCACTCTTGCCCCAAGAAAAGAGGCCAAAGCAAGGGCAGATTCCTTAGGCAAGAGCAGCACAACCAGGAAACCCCACAGCCCATGCTCTGACAGGTGGCCCTTCGCAGGGAGCAGTGGGACAGGCGTCTTGAAGGGCACATGTCCCCGGAAGCTCTGAGCCTGTTTTCTGTAGTTTACAGTTAGAGCTCTATTTTGTTATGGTTTTTTAAACTTTTAAGTCCTGCTCTATTTTCCTGGGCAGGTTTATGTTGATGTTTATCCACTACAATTTTTAAAAATATAAGCTCACATGCCTTTTCCCTGCCACCACCAAACCCCCACTACACCCTACCCACCCCCCAACCCCCACCCAGGTCAGCTTTCCTGGAGCTGGCTAATCAAATCTTCCTCACCTCTTCCCAAGAAAGGGTGCTAGGGGCTCAGCTATGTGACCATTCTTCCCGACAGGGAGCCCAAACTTGGCCTAGCATCCCTCCTGGTCCCCCTCTGGCCATGACGTGGCCTGTGCCTGGTTCTCTATCAGAAAGGGATTGCTGAACAAAACTTCCTTCCAAGCTTTAGCCAATTCCTTCCTTACTGCCTCGGGCTGCGTCACAGGAAGAGGACAGGTGTCCAGTTGCTGGGCTGAGGGAGGAGCTGGTTTGGCATAGGACCTAACCAGTGAAGCCGGAGCCTGCAGCCCCTAAGCTTGCTTGAGGCCAATGATACTTAACGCATAACTAAGTACCTTAATGCTAATGAGGTCCACTAAAAAGGGGAGGAAGGCGGACCTGCTGGGAGACCCACAAAGGGGTTTTAACCAGGGAAAACTGAGCCCCAGGAAAACCTAACCACTGTGCAGATAGAATTTGTTTGGGGGATAAAACTACAACAAAACAGATGTTCCTGCAGCCTGAGATCTCAGGTAGGGTACTAAATAAGGTTTAATAAGACGGTAGGTGACCTAAGGACATGCAAGCTTGTAAAATGCAACAGCCTCTTGCTAGAGCGATATGTACATGAACTTGCTTGCAGAAGACTAGATTAGATGCTTCTCAGAATCCCCTCCTGCCCAGGGGTTCTCTGATTTCTGTGTTCTCTGCTCAGATGGGCTGGGGGAGTTGAGAGGGTGGCTCATTCTTGCTGTGGTCATGAGACCACGGTTCTGAGTTATCTCCTCTCACACATCAAGCCCCAGCAAGGCAGCAAGAGGGAGAGCTACAAACAGTATTTTACCCCACAACTTAGTGGCCGGCAAACGCCTTGGGGACTAGGGTCGGGAACAACCCGTAAGCACGTCTTCAGGGCCCAGGGAGACAAGTGCCCTCTGTTCCGCACACATTTGGGCTCCCCTTACAGAGCGCTTTGCCCTGGCTCCGAGGTCCCTGTTGCTCTAACAGGTCCAGGTGTATACCCAGCCTCAGGGGGAGGGCATCTCTCTCCAGATTGAGTTTCAGAGCCCAGCAAGGTCAGGTTATCTGCTTTCATTCAGGGTTGTGAATGATACAAATGGTGCCAGGGAGTGGCAAGGCCATGGGGGTAGGTGGGGGGTGAGTTTTTCTTTTCATAAGGTAACAACAGTAGAGACTTGGGCCAGACATCAGAAAAAACTTCCGGAATGACCTTCCACCTTCCAGGAGGCCCTGGAATAAGAGGCTTCTTTTTTAGGGAACTTTGAGGAATTTTGAAAGCTGTTGATAGGGGGTCTAGGATCGGTGAAGCTGTGACTGGAGGGATAGGAGATGCTCCAAGTGTCCATCCAGAGATGAGACTCTTAGAATCAGTGTTTGGTGCAGGAAGCGTCTTGGAGATCCCATCTGCTGTGGCCCTGCACCTTAGAGGAGGCCATTAAGGGGACTCACCTAGGAATTCTGGTTATAGCCCAGTGCTTAGCCCAGCATATGCTGCCTCTTTAGGGCACCCCAAAGACCAGCCAGCCTGTACTCTGGGCAAGAGCCCAAGAGGGCTAAGAATGTTTGACTCCCTCTACCTCTCCCCCAGCTATAGAGGAATCTTTTCTCTGCCTGGTGTCAGAATGGGACTGCCAACTGCCTCGTCCGTCGGAGACACAGTATCCTCAAACCTGTGGCCACTGGCATGACAGTGGTGCTGTCTCCCTGGGTGAGACCTACCCTAGGCTTCCTCCTGGATGTGATGGAGGTTGCCGGAGAGGCTCTTAGCATAAAATGGATTAGATGGGCATTTTTCTATGTGCTTCCAAAAAGCTCCATGGAAACGGGCACCTGGTAGCTGTGGGACACCTGTGGACTTGTGTATATGGTCATAGGCTTTGGGAAGACAAGACATAAAGGAAAATGAGAGAAACAAAATGGGTCAGATAGCTTTGGCCAGAGCCCCAGACAGCCTATGTGGCCTGTGACACTTAGTGCCTTTAGATGGGATACATCTTGCCTCGGCCCCAAGACTCCTCCAACTTACCTGTCCCATCCAGGGCCTGCACAGCTTAGAGAGGCTCATAGCTTGGCAAAGGCCAGGGCTTCATCGGCCCACCGACTTGACTCAGTGTTTGTAAAAATGGAACCATTCCCACTGGCCTACTGTTTCTCTCTTGTACTTCTTGTAATGATAGTTATTTATTGACTGTGGTAGCAGGCAGTTCTTAAATAAAGATGGTTTCTCAACCCGTTGCGGCAGGTGGCGCCAGCTGTGGGTGTTTTTATCATTAGGCTAAAGCATACCTCCTTGCCCTGTTCTGTCACTCCAGAGGCTTTTATCTCCACACAGTGAAATATAAGGAAGTTACAACATACAGTCTATACTGCTTCATTCGGTCCCAGGAGGGGGAAAAAATTAGGCCAAGATCTTAAGGCAGGTCTAAGCAGAACACAAGCAGGCACTTGGCTAGAATTAGCAGTAAACAATGCTTATGTGATGGTACTGCTTCAGGGTTCCCCAATTTTTAAGACATCTCTGAGGTGTTGACTCAATGGTCCCAAAGGAAAGTCTCCCTGCAGAGATATTAAAGATACCCAGCTGGTGAGAATGAGGCTGCTACCTCTACTCTTGGCTCATGGCAGCAACAAGGTTTGAATTACTAGTCGGTTTCCAGCCACACTTTCTCACACATTCAATAATCATTTATCAAACTTTTTTTTTTTTTTGAGACAGAGTTTCGTTCTTGGAGTACAATAGCACGATCTTAGCTCACTGCAATGGAGTGCAATGGCATGATCTTAGCTCACTGCAACCTCCACTTCCTGGGTTCAAGAGATTCTCCTGCCTCAGCCTCCAGAATAGTTGGGATTACAGGCGCATGCCATCACACCTAGCTAATTTTTGTATTTTTTTTTTTTTTAGTAGAGACGGGGTTTCACCATGTTGGCCAGGATGGTCTCAAACTCCTGACATCAGGTGATCCACCCACCTCAACTTCTCAAAGTGCTGGGATTACAGGCATGACCCACCATGCCTGGCCTATCAAACTTTCATTATAGATGAAGATGTGTGTGGAGACACACTTCCACAGCTCTGGGTTTTGTCTTTCAGTGCAAAGCAGGTAGGGACCCATGCTGGCTATGCCCCCAGCTTTTTTCAGGGAAGAGGGAGATGGTGATTGGAGGCCCCAGTAACTCAGTGCTTAGCTGTGTGCCTGGAAGCCCAGGCTGACAGCAAGCCTCCAGAAGGGATGCATACAGACACCAGTATGATATTGCAAAAGGGTCATCCCTTCCACTTTGCCCCCAGAGGCCATGTAGGAACACTGGCCAATCTAAAAACCCAAATATTAGTCCAGTCAGCATCTCCTTGACCCTGCAGAGGTAGAATACTTGCACAGAATTCAACAGGTTTTGCTTTACTAACACAACTGGACATCTTTTGTTCTCTTCGCTGCTCAATCCCTTCACATCCTTAGAGTCAAAACTCAAGAGCCCAATGCACAGAGGGCTATAAAGCCACAGCTGTGCAACAGTCCATTCCATGCTTGACTACTGGCTGCAACGAAAAGTTATTTAGCTCTTCTTGGGTCTCAGTCTCTCCATCTGGAAAACGGGACATAGTACCCCTCAGCCCTCCTCCCTCCTCAGCAATGTCATGTTGAGTTCATTACATATAAAGTGGGACATTGTTTTATGGTCTTCTAACATCAAGACTGCTTGCTTCACATACACGAGCTATCTCCTGAATGTCTCAGCAAGTTGTCCCATACTGAAAGCATCATCAATAATACTCCTGAACTCACGTCCAGTGCTTCACCTTTACTTCACAGGATCTCACTGGACCCTCACAATCACCTATTTCAATGATGATTGTGAGGGTCCAGTGAGATCCTGTGAAGTCAGGTGGCTTGCTCCATTACACCAACAATAGCAGAACCAGGACCAGAACCCAGATGTTCGGAAATCCATCCCCTCTCAGGTAGATAGAATGGGGGAAAGGCTGTGTGTAAAACTAAGATATTTTTAAAAATAAGAGCAATAGGGCCAGGTGGTGGCTCATGCCTGTGATCCCAGCACTTTAGGAGGCTGAGGCAGATGGATCACAAGAGGTAAGGAGATCGAGACTATCCTGGCCAATATGGTGAAACCCCATCTCTACTAAAATACAAAAAATTAGCTGGGCATGGTGGCGTGTACCGGTAGTCCCAGCTACTCGGGAGGCTGAGGCAGGAGAATCGCTTGAACCCAGAGGCAGAGGATGCAGTGAGCCGAGATTGCACCACTGCACTCCAGCCTGGGCAACAGTGAGATTCTGTCTCAAAATAATAAGAGCAATAGTAAAATTACTCCCTATGCCTGGGTGGGCTTCGGTCAGTGGTTCTCAACCTTAGCTACGTATCAGAACCACCTAACAACCTTAAACAACGCAGATGCTCTGAACTCATGATTGATACACATCTAGGACACTGAGAGCCTAGGAGCAATGACTCCCAATAGCAATGAGCACACCCAACATGCAGATTTTGGTTTCTCAATGCTACTCCCCACACTAAGAGGAACCAGGGCTCCTTGGAGAAACAGCAGATTCAGTGGTGGGGTAAGGAGAGTCCAAATGTGAACCTGAGATACTGTGTTGTACTAGAACCACAGCAAAAGGGCAAAACAGCTTGCCTGAGGGGACTCCTACTGGCCAAAATTGGGGACAATTTGAACATCAAAAAAATGATAATCTGTACACAAAACCCCCATGACATACAGTTTACCTATGCAAGAGTCCTGCACATGTACTCCTAAACCTAAAAAGTTAAAGAGAAAAAATGGATTATATATATATAGTTCACTGAATAAAAAGAATCTATTGAGACCTCAAAATAAAAAGGCAAAAAGGGCAAGCTCTTCTTCAGAGAGATGCAGGATATTTCACACTGCTGATGATGACAAAGAGAGAGAGAGAGAGAGAAATGCGGGCTAATATAGCTAAGATGAACATAAGGAATTGCCAGTTTGCAGTCCCCAACATGTAACGATGAACAAGGCAAAAACAATGGATGCCAAAATAAGTGAACAGTTTTTGGAGAGCCATATAAAGTATTAGCCCACAGACTATGAATTACAAATGAGAAAATACACACACATCGTGGAGAGATCTGGCCATCACCACCTTAACCAAATGATCAAGCTTATTATCAATAGTGGGTCAACCTTGGCTGGGCACAGTGGCTCATGCCTCTAATTCCAGAACTTTGAGAGGCCAAGGCAGATGGATCACCTGAGATCAGGAGTTCGAAACCAGCCTGGCCAACATGGCAAAACCCTGCCTCTATTAAAAGTATAAAAATTAGCCAGGCATGGTGGCGCACACCTGTAGTCCCAGCTACTCAAGAGGCTGAGGCACGAGAATCACTTGAACCCAGGAGGCAGAGGTTACAGTGAGCTGAGACTGAGCCACTGCACTCCAGCCTGGGCGATGGTGAGACTCTTGTCTCTAAAGAAAGAAAAATGTGGGCCTTTAACATAAGCCTTGTAATGTGATGCAGGAAGTACATATCTACATAGGGCTCTTGTCAAATTTAAGCTGCATTCCTCATGAATCACGAGGAAATGGCAAATATAAATTATGGAACCTTATCCAAGACAACTGTACTAGCTAAATTATTCAATAAACTCAATGTCATGAAAGATAAAGGAATGTGTGTGTGGCGGGGGTAGGGTCTGTTGTAAAATAAGACACTTAAGAGAAATATAATACATGAACCTTTGCTTTGACTCTGGATCAAAAATTAAAATGCTGTTAAGATTTTGGATATTGGTGAAAACTGAATACAGGTTGAGTATCCCTTATCCAAAATGCGTAGGACCAGAAATATTTCAGATTCTCTCAGATTTTGCCATCTTTGCATTATACGTACAGGTTGAGCATCCCAAATCTAAGAAATCCAAAATCAGCTCCTCCAGTAAGCAATTCCTTTGAGCACCGTGTTGGTACTCAAAAAGTTCCAAGTTTCAGAGCATTACAGATTTCAGGTTTTCATTTTCAGAATGCTCAACTTGTTTAAGCTATACGTAAGATTAAGAAATTGCTAATTTTTGGCTGGGTGCGGTGGCTCACGCCTGTAATCCCAGCACTTTGAGAGGCTGAGGCAGGTGGATCATCTAAGCTCAGAGTTCGAGGTCAGCCTGGCCAATATGACAAAACCCTGTCTCTACTAAAAACATTAAAAAGCTATCTGGGCATGGTGGCTGGCGCCTGTAATCCTAGCTACTCAGGAGGCTGAAGCAGCAGGATCACTGGAACCTGGGAGGCGGAGGCAGTGAGTTGAGACCATACCATTACACTCCAACCTGGGCGACAAGAGCAAAACCCCGTCAAAAAAAAAAAAAAAAAAAAAAAAAACCAAACAGATAATTTTCTTAGTGTGATAAAGATATTGTGGTTACAGAGAATACCCTTATTAAGAGATGCATACACGGTTTAAGAGGAAAGAGTTGCAGACCGGGTGCAGTGGCTCACGCCTGTAATCCCAGCACTTTGGGAGGCTGAGGCAGGCGGATCACGATATCAGATTGAGACCATCCTGGCCAACGTGTGAAACCCAGTCTCTACTAAAAATACAAAATTAGCTAGGCATGGTGGTGTGTGCCTGTAATCCCAGCTACTTGGGAAGCTGAGACAGGAGAATTGCTTGAACCCAGGAAGCAGAGGCTGCAGTGAGCCAAGATCATGACATTGCACCACAGCCTGGGCAACAAGAGCCAAACTCCATCTCAGAAAAAAAAAAAAAAGAGTAAAGAGTTGCAATGTCTGTGACTAGCTTTCAAGTGGTTTAGCAAAATCAGTCTATACTGAGAAAGGTAATTGTGACAAACTCTTATTACCTGGTGAATTTCGGTAAAGGGTCTATGGATGGTAACCAAATATTTCTTTCAGCTTTTCTATGGGTCTGAAATTTTTACAAGTTAAAAGTAAAAGAAACAGTAGGGATCCTTTGACTATAATTTCAACTGAATTAGCATTTTCCGGATTAGAGCTCAAGAACCTTTATTTTTCACAAGGTCATCCAGATGATTCTGACACACATCTAGAGGATCATTGGTCTTTGGTTTCTGCTACATCCTTCTGTAGCCAGAGAAAAGTGAGAGGAAGAAATGCTGTAATTCTCTCAGTAGAATTAGCTCGGCTGGTGGCCAAGAGCCTTTTCCCTGATGGTTCCACAAGCCAATTATCTCAGACACAGTCCGAATGGCCTCAG